CCGCAGGGGAGCCCGCCAGGGGCCGGAGTCCCCCCTCCACGGCCCCGCCACTCACACACGCTCGCACCGCGCGGGCCACGCGCGGGCCCGCCAGCGACGCAGGCTCGAAGGGGCGGGTCCCCGAGCCGTGTGTGTGGAACGCGCTACCCTGAGGAAAGGGAGCCCCGTCTCGCAGCTGGCACGCGGCGCGGAGGCAGGGGCAGAGCCGTGAGGAGGGGAGAAGGTGCCTGCGGCGCAGACGTGGGCGCACCTGTAGGAAGGGGACGAAGTCCTCCTGTACCAGGTAGTTACAGCCGGGATTCATGAGCAGGTGGACGAACTTGGCCGCGTCGTCGTGGCAGTTCTGGAGGATCCTACAGCGACAGAGGACATGCCGGTGGTCCCCCCGCACCACGTCCACGAGGCCCCTCCCAGACGCGGGCGGCGGACGGACGCCGGGCCCCCCACCCTGGAGGCCAGCTCCCTGCTCTCGCCATCTCGGCCACAGGAGCCCGGGCCCGTGACGTCCCCTCTCCCGACACCCGCCCCCCGCGCTCCCGCCCGGGACTCACTTTCTCCACATGGCGACGAACTTGTGCACAGACACGGAGCCCGTGCGCTCTCCCCCGGCACTGCAGAAGAGCGGTCCCTTCCAGTACAGCGGGCAGCCACAGGCCTATGGGACGGGGGCACAAGCGGGCGGTCAGCGCCTCCCGGGCCCCCACCGTGGCCACCACACCCCGCGCTCCCACGGGGACGCCACAGACAACTTCTGCTGCGCCAAGACCCCTCTGGAAGCCCATGAGCCCCGCACACACGAGCTCCAGTGAGCCGCGAAACACACGGCGTGCGTCCTTCCCCGTGCACCAGGGACAGCATCTGTCACATCGGGTGACGGGAAGGCAGCTCGAGGACGGGGAACGGACCACCCCCTGACCAGCACACAGTCTACCGGCAGGCAACCAGCAGGTGCCCAAACTCTGCATGTCTAGAAACACCTCATGATAAACACGGACGATAGGACACACAGCGTAAATTAGGAAGGGCTCCGAAATGCAACAGTGAAAACGCCGTCCATCGGATTCACCAAACGAGCACTGACAGGGGCGTTCGGCCCGCGTAGCAGCACAGAAGGCTGAACGCCGGCAATCCAAGCTCCCGTTGCAAAAAAGCAAACAAAAGAAGAAACACAGAACAGGCAGAAATGAAGACGAAAGAGAGCAAATATCTTAATACGGAAAGTCAGCAAAACCGAAAGTCCGTTCTTTGAAGATCTAAAAAAGACCGTAACGCCCCTCAGAAATACTCGTCAAGAACTAAAGAAAACACAAGTTACGAATGTCCGCTGTCACGGCAGTTCCCACACGCGACAGAAAGGCAGGAAGCGTGTGACACCAATGACTTCACGCCAACACGTGCCACAGCTTTGCGGACACGCACAGACTCCCGGATCCAGGGGTCTGACCAAATGGACACGAGAAAAGATCTGAACAGTTCTATGCACCTGCAAAAAAACAAGCCTTAACTCCAAACTCTCCCACAAAGAAAAGTCCGGGCCCCAAAAGTCCGCCAACGAGCCTGTTCAAATATTTATGGAAGAAATCACACGGACCGCACACAAACTCTTCCAGAGACCGAAAGTAAGGGGCATTGGGTAATTCTCATTACGAGGGCTGCACATATACTGACATGTGTCAGGAACGCAAGGAGAATTAGGAGCCGGTTATCCATCGCGATCAGTAATGCAGAAATGCCACAGAAAACGCATCGTGAACCGACTGAACTCGGCCATTAAACAAACAGCGATGAAGAAACAGCACACGGAGAAACTAAGAACAGAGACGTACCTTCTTCCTTTAATGTTTTTTTGTAACGTCTACCCCCAGTGTGGGGC